GACTGGCACGCGCTGCCCAACTTCTGTGTTTGCCCAACTCAGGTCTTGGGCCGCAAAAAGTTGCACTTGCAACGCACAAACGCCTGCCGCAGCGCGGCTGAAGGATAATGCGCCACACACGGCAAAGCGACGTCGAACAAACACTGGACGCGCCTTTGTCTTGGGGTTGTTAGCCCCGTCTGGGCTGTTGCTTGTTAGTTGTTGGGTTGCTGGGTGTCTGGGTGGTGGGTGGTGGGTGGGTGCTTAAGGGGGTGTGCCATTGACGGAAATCATGCAAAAACGTGCCGAGTGCACGAGTCCTAAAGGAACTGAGCACATAGACAATCCTTCGAGCCGCCGTCACTCGTTTCTGGTTGTGACAGTTCCTGGCTTTTCGTTCCCTGCTGCCCCAATTCCAACTTCTGACTAATTCCGTTCTGTTCGCCGCTAACTGACATATTAATAGCTCGCACAGTAAACAGCAACAACCACCAACAGCAGGCAACTAACCCCACAGAGCCTGCCGTCTCATTCATTAGGTCGAACCCTGTCTAATTGCTTTGTAAAGTTAACAATCCGTCGATTGATTGATACCAATTAAAAAATTCAAATGGATATTCTAGATATGCAACAAATTAGTTTAGTAATCAAGGATAATTACTGAAATTTCCATCAATGACAGCACAAATGCATAACTAAAATAAGCTAACGGATTAATGTGGACCTGCTCTACAAACTGACTGTAAATTATATATTCATGATGAAAGGGGAACAAAATTATCCATATCTTTCATAAGGAGTTTCGTTTAAATATTAACTACAAACTCATCTAACACTTAGGTAAGATTTACGAATTACTTAGCCCATTTTTGGTTAACTGATGACATAGCGGACGAGTCCACCAACACACAAATTTGTAAATGGATTTTGGAATCAGTGTGGGAAGAAATCGCATTTGCTTGTAAGTAGTCAATTTATAGGTTGCATGCGAGCAACCATAACTCTAAGCTGGCTAAGATGAGTGATGCAGCTATACTATATAATCGATCTTGAGCTTCCCAAACTTGCATGGGTCGGATGTTTCCTAGTAGGGTATCTCATGGTCGAGTATCTTTTAGTCGGTAATCCACTAGTAGGGGATCTAAAAGTCTTGTCGGGTATCGCCTAGTATCCCTAGTATCTCTGAGTCGAGTGTATCCTAATCAGAGCCTATGGAGCGAGTGTAAAGGTTGAGGAGTAATGAGTCTGCGCCTTCAGAAGCATAAATAAGAATACTTGGAAACTGTGCGATTCGCTGGAGAAGCTAATTACCTCTATTAATGGACAACACGTCATAGATGACAGCAGTGAGTGCCTCATAATGTTGAATGAAAGGCAGTTAAAGAATTGTGATACAAAGTACAAGTTGTGCACACGTTATGAGTGTCGCAGCCACACACACTCCACACGACATCCGCAGCTAGAGACCCCACACAAAAGGGGGCCAGAGTCGGAGCCAGAGCTCGATAAAGTTGTGAGAACAACGAACTTGGTTGGTTTGGTTTGCTCAGAACCCGGCTAAGTGAAGGTTTTGCGGATGCCGCTGTGAGTGCGCGCTGTCATGCTTGGCTGCTCATTTATGACCATAGAGCACAAGGCACATTGAGGCAGTAAGTGAATGTATCTCAAAGATAGACGCAGAGTGCTCAGAGTGCAGCAACTGAGCAACTTGAAGTCATTGCTGCCGTTGTGATTGTTGTTCTTGTTGACGGTTCAGTGATTGTCGAACCGTTCTTCAGATCTCTACTTCCCATATAAAAGAGAGGGAAAAACTTTGACTGTGATTTCGAGTGCAACAGCTGGGGTCCATTTAGTCATGCTTGAAGTGAGGAACACAAATTTAGCAGAAAGTAACTCAGTTTTACCTTTAATTTGGACTAAAAGGAGTGAGCAAAACTTTTCAACAGATTGATCTATATGGAAATTGTCCAGGTAGGGAAAAACTTTTTATTCAAAATGATTGATCTATATGGAAATTGTCTAGGTAGGGAAAAACTTTCTATTCAAAATGTTTCGCATTCATCTATATGTATATCTTAAGGTAAAGTGAGTCTTAAGGAACTATAATTCGTCTCTTTCCTCAATAAGAGTTCAAAAACTTCTGTCTTATTGAAATCCCAATATTGATAACTGCAATAAATATATTTTCATCTGTTTATATGTTCTTTAGAAAGGTATGGAGAATGATAAATTGAATCAATTTACGAATACTTCTCTGACTTCCAACTGACATGCTGTGAACGTGCTTGAATACTTTCTTTTTCTGACTATAAATCAAAGGCAATCTAAAATGCAAAAGCTTTGCGGCATAACGTGTGGATTATTTGTTCTTGGTTTCGCGATTGTACCTATCAAAGTGTTTAAATTTTATCGAGTGGAAACATGACAAATGACATTGTAGGCGGGCGCTTAGCGTTATCACATAAACTTTCGACAAAGGCAAACGCGAATATATTTGGATATTGTTTCATTTTATGTAAGAATATATAAATAGTTTTGGTTTCTGTAAAATGTGTCAACAGTGTTTTCTTTTTTGCTATATAAGTAGATTCGTTCCACTCTTATTTTTTTGTAAATAAGGAAAACATACATTTATAGAAATTTCACACAATTTTTCTCTAGGCAAATGACTTTGGCTTGCAATTTATATTTAAGTGTTAATGGCTAATTTCCTATAAGCTATATTCAATCCAGAGCGCTTACATAAACCTTATTTCATGATTGATTTGATGAAAGCCTGAAAAGGACATAGGAAGGAAAGTGCAGAAAACGGCTAGGCGAATGGATGTAGACAATTATTATAATTATTATATAATTATATATTAAAGCTAAGTAGACATGGCAAGAAAGTTTGTTCCAGTCTAGACTGCTACCTTGAATTACGCTACCTACCAATTTAGTGGTGAGACTTAATAACCGTATAATTACAAAAATATGTAGGATATGTACATATACCTCAAGGTCAGATGTCGAAAAATGGTAGACTATTAATGATGTATATAATATATATTGAATTATATTATGTTATATTAATTTGTATTCAATTATTTTTTTTTTTTTTTAATATTTACAGATGTTTCACAAATTTAAGAACAGCTCCGCAAACTGTATGAAGTCATTTGAATAATGTAAATCGAGAACACACATATTAAAAGTTTTAAAATCCATAAATTATCACATTTTATTTTCATTTTGTTATAATTTTAAAATGCTTGAGAGTCTAATTATCATTTGAGTGTAAATCGTTTCGAATGTATTATATATCTTTAATCGATACTCAGGTCAATGTATGGGAAGCGCTGTTTTAAAACGCAAGTCAAAAGTTTTAAATATATTTTGAGAACGAATGTAATTTAAATTCCACACAAGTGCTCAACAATCTTAAAAAGGTAAACAATATATTTAATGATTTTGAAAGTTGTTAGGACTAAGCAAGTTCATTAAGTCCAAAAAAGAAACTTTTGTAAATTAATGATTTAAAAAATGTATTTGACAGCATTAAACTAGTCTAATACCCTGCAAACTGCAGATACAAATATAAGTACTTCATAGCTGAGATGTTATGATATGCACTTTGAATATCATATAGTCTCAACCTTACCAACTGGTAATCAATATATTCAGTTTCAGTCAATTTATTCGTAAAGGACATATAATAATGCGATATATCTAAGTAATGATTGCGAGTGGGCGGCATAAACAAAAGCGGCGTAGGACAATGCACAGCTGTAGTGGGAAAGGTCGGCAACAACGGCGAATCTCTATCGAGATTTTGGGGGTGAAACGCCCAACCGTAATCTCAAACATATGGCAAGGAACTAACACGCACACACACTCACATACACTAACACACTCACACGAGCATACACAGGGCGACTTTTGGCATTTGGCAATGTGACAAGAAAAATCAAATGCAGAAAAACGCCTGTTAAAAGGTAAGCGGAAACGGAGCAGCAGGAAAGCTGACAACGTTGACGAAACACACACAAAGATGTACATGAATACATACATACATATGTATACATATATGCATGTAAATTTGCGTGGACACGAAATCGGCAGCAATAAGAGCGCCAACGCAGAGCTGCAAAGGAAGGAAAATCAATAATACGGCGATTTCGGCTGTTGCCTTTTGGCTGCTGCTGCTGCTGCTGCTGCTGCTGCTCTGCTACTGCTCTGCTACTGTTGTTGTTCGCCACCGAAATGTGTCACGGCGAGGGAACATCGAAACTGGAGCAGCAAGCCATATTTTTAGGGGAATGTTAATAGAAAGCTATTAATAACTGCCTGACAAAATGGCAACTCACCTGTTCTAATGGGGTTTGTGGCAGTTTGAGCTATTCGCTCGTTTGTTTTCTTATTATTCTCCTATTTTTCCGTTGCTGCTTCAAGTTGAAGTTCACGCTCAAAAAGAGTTAAGCTTATTAAGCTTTAAAATTCTGAAAATACTCCGCTGTGTGTGAGTGTGTGGTTGTGTGTGTAGGGGAATGTGTGTGCAAGCGTAAAATACAAACACAAGTGCACGCACAACTCCAACTCCAACTCCAGCCCGATTACACAACAGCAGCGAAAAACTTCACGAGCCGAAACGAAGTTGAGCGAAGAAGCAATGCCGAAAAAGAGTCGAATGCTTTCATATATACGAATATTTTACTTTTATCACTGATTTGCTTAGCTGCCTTTTTTTGTGTCCGTGTTCACACTTTTAATTAATATATTTTTGGTTAAAAATCAGCAGTTGGCGGAGTTTAACTGTTGTCGAGTGTATGTGTGTGTGTCGGTCGATCACAGCACAATCACAAACGCACACACGCTTACATGCACAAGTATACAACGAACGCACTACGCTGGCGTTGCTCACCGCTCGACAACAACGCAACGCAACAACTGCGATACGCGAGCGCGCACCATCAACTGAGCAAAAGCCGAAAGACGCACGCCGAAAGTCCAGAGCCGAAAGCAGAAACAGAAACAAAACGTACCCGAAGTCGTGGCGTCGCCAAGTGAGTGTAGCTTGCTTACGTTTGGATTTGACGGCCTGAGAGAGTGGGCAGCGCAGTTGCGTTGAGCGCCGGTTTGAAAAAGCTTTCGCTTACAGCTTCTTCAGCAGTCAGCAGTGGTAACGGTACAATACGGTAATGTTTCAAGCTTTAGCGACAATGCAACTCAGTTTGGCGTGCTGCCAACTGTTTTGTGAAAAGTAAAAGCGCCAAATTTGTAGGAATTTTGAATTTTATTGACTTTCTAAATTTTGTTAACTAATATTTATAATTGATTGATTACTACTTGGGAAGCCAAACATCCTGTAATTCATCTTTAATATCGATAATATCACCCAAACGAACGGGACCTTTCGAAAAGGAATGTATTATTAGAATTGAGACAACGAACTGAACAGAATATCAATTCACCTTTGACTGCTTTGAGCAATTGCATGCGCGGGAATGTTAACAGCTCCACACGAACCTCCGTTAATAGACCCCTCGCCCCAACTCGACCCAAGACCTTAACAACTCTGGCCGGCGCGGTTGGCGGTTCCATAATTAATAAATTTCTTTAGATATATACAATAAAATACACAGAACGATATAAAGACGTGATACTCATCAATCGACTTACTGAATAAACATACAGATACGTACATATATTTGGAAATAATTCTCTATGCTATAAGATTGATATATTTTCATAAATCTTTCAGAGTGACTTAAAAGTCCTGGCTATTTTCAATTTATAGCAATTCGAAGAAAACTAATATATTTTGTGTTTTTATCACTAAGTTTAATGCCCAACAATACCATAATACAGCCTTAGCTATTACACTTAATTAACTTGTAAAGCTTGTGTTCTTTTATAGACCCTATACAGGGTATATCAGGTAGATAAATTGTCTTTTATTTTTGATGCACGTATTAACACTAGGACAATATATATCAGTAGAATATAATAGGAGTTAATACAAATATTTGAGTCATCCAAAGTCATCTCAGCACGACCTCCCACAGGACCCCTAACAATCCATTTAAAATCATATTTAGTAAATCACACTTTCGAATTTTCCCCGTACGTTAACATCTCGCATAATGGCAGCTAGCTCCTCGTCCTTCTGGGCGCGCATATCGTCAATAATAGATTCCTTGAAGCCCGCATCTTTGGCCGGATCTTGAGGCAGTTGCTGCTTTTGTTTCTCCAGCTGGAGCTGTGGCACTTCAACGCTGAGTGTGGCGCCAATGCGCTCCACACTCCAGCGGCCAGCGATCTCCCCAATGCCAATCTGAGCCCAGCTGTCGGTGCCGAACCAAATGGAGAGCGCCTCATTGTAGTCCGTAACATGCCCGCGAAACGGATTGGTGGGACTGCCAAAGCCCAGATGGCTAATGGTATCCCTAAGCACCTTGGACAGCTTGGGCAGCTTGTGCGAATAGAACAAGACGGCGCCACCGATGAGGTGCGCCATGGATCGCAGGCAGCGGCACATGTGCTTCTTCAGGGCCGGCTCGAAGTCCATGAAGATGTCGTACTTGCCGCCCACAAGGACTACGGGAAAGGGCAGCAGCTCCAGCGTGTTGAGATCCTGCTGGGCATGTTTCACGCGCTCCAAGGAGCGTCGCTCCAGATACTCACGTAGCTGCGGCGTCGCCTGTTGCAGCATACGGCTAGCCGTGTCCCTCAATCCTCGATACGCGCACTCCAGATCCGCCCAGACGCGCTGCGGCTGGGACAGATCGATCATGATGAAGGCCGACATCTGTTGCAGTCCATGCGTGCGCATCGGCACCTCCAGCAGCTGCTCCGCATTGTCCAGGGAGCCCAGTTCCCACACGTTCAACACCTGCGCATACCGGCCGCTGCCCATGCGACGACCATAGCTATACTCCAGCGCCATGGTTGGACGCGTTGTCTGCTCCTCCCGGTCGAAGAACCTATTTATAGCCATCGACTTGCCCTGCAACGAGTTTCCGATTGAGTCGATTCCCCTATGGAACTGCCTTGGCCCGACTTACCACACACTTGCTGCCCAGCACGAACAGGGTGCGCTCCTTGGGCGCCGTTGTGCTAGCCTCAAGCTGACGCAGACGCTCCTGCTCCTCGGCCAGGCGTCCGGCTATCTCTTGTATGGTGCCCGTGGCACTTAAACTGCTCGGATTGCTCTTATCCAACATGCTCCTCAATTTTCCATGAATCGTGTATAAAAACTGCGGCAAACGCATGACATAGGGCAACACTTTGTGTTGGCTTCCTCAAGTGTCGCCATGGCAATCTGTCAGAGTTGCCGAGTCCTGCCATCAAAGGAACAATTCGAAAATGGAGAGCAATACTAAAACCTAAAACCTAAAGTCAAGGGTTAGAATTAGAGTTAGACTTAGAGTTAGAATTAAAGTTAGAGTTAGAGTTAGAGTTAGTTAGAGCTAGAGTTAGATTTAGAATAAAAATTAGTTATCTTTAAAAAAAATCAATTATCTTTAAATATATACTATACAAAATACATTTGCAATATGCTATCTGAACACATCAAGAAAAGAAAAATAAGAAATAATTAAAATCAAACACTTTATGAACATTAATCAATTAAACATACGAAAACAGATGGTAACAGATGTATACTATATATGTATGTACATATGTAATACTCTCTAAAGCATAGATACAGTCCTTAAAGGTTTGTGTCTAGAATACACACGAGAGAGTATTGAAGATAAGCATAGACACAGTCCTTAAAGGTTTGTGTCTAGAATACTCACGAGAGAGAATACTCACAGATGAGAATTCATACAACTACGCACTGCTTGTTTCTATATATTATCTCTACAACTTTAGAGTCTATGTTTTGCTTAGATATCAAATTCTCTCCAATATTGTCGCAGTTAGCTAATAGAAACGAATATTTCAGGTGGCCCTCTATGTTTTGCTTTTAATGCTCATTTAGATTGATAGATGGCGTTTTTTTGTCAAATAAATTCAATCCTGATCAAATGTTTTCAGTTATAGTAGAAGCCTAAATTCTTTATAATTTTTTAAGCCAGCTTTGGTAGTTGCTTCAACGGTGAAGTTAAAAAAATTTTGTATGCGTACTTTTCACTTATTAAAATAAATATTTTAGTTATATATGTATAAATATAAATACATATATATACTTTTTTCTGTACATCTTGTAACAAGCAGTTTAGGTGGTCCGTTTCCAACTGTTGCAGCTTTGTATTTTCCTCTCTATGATTTATTCTGGTCTTTCTATGTTTCTTCGATTCAATTCGAATTCGATTTCTTAGTTTTTTCTATATATTGTATTGCGATGTTTTATTTCTATATTTTCTCTTCTATGTGCAATATTTTTTCTGCTATGTGGTTTAATGTTCTATGTTTTTGATTTCGATGTTTCCACTTCTATGTTCTCTACTTGCCATAAAGCTGTAAGTAAAACTGCTTAGTTTTTAAGTTCTGCTATGAAACGCTAGATGGCGCTGTATCAATTCAAATTTTTATTTACTGCACCTGAAGTATAAAACCATTTCCAAAGAAATATGCAGAATAATATAAAATCAATTTTAGTTATTTATTCATTATATTTTATTATTATTATTATTTTTAAAAAGTCTTTTGAATACATCGTAAATTATTAAAAATTAATACGATATACAATTTGAAATATTTTTTTACTAGCTGTAGAATTTCATTATCTTTGATATTCATGATTCGTATGCGTATATTTGTCCCTACATATTTGCACGCTGTCTGGGCCAGGCAAAGTCCCAGTTGGAAGTGGGCTTCAGCATTGTTACTTATCTCTATTTGAGCTGCGTCGCTTCATCTGGCTTATTCGCTTTTGCTTTTAGTGCCGTGCAGCATGCCCGACCGGCGAGTCATCAAACATAATTACTTGCCCAGAGGCATGCAGCAATTGACATTTCGGTGGCAGTCCCGTCATCCAAAACTTGGCTACCGACTGCAGACTACGTACCGTTGCCTTCCCCCCACCCCGCTGGCCAATGGATTGCCAGCAAACTCATTAGCCTTTGCTGCCGACTTTGAACTTTAAGGCGAACCAGCTCCATTATAGCCAAGGGCTCTAATTGATAATGAAATTCGCCCTTTAAGCTAAGCCACTGCACCTTGGAACGTCTGCTCCCGTCCTCTGCACTGTAACCCACACCACCCCACACCACCCCCATCACACTGATAACTGTTGGCAATGAACCCATCTCCAAAATGGAGTTTGGTTTGCCTCTTGTTGCAACTTTCTCCAGCTTTGTGGTCTGCCACTGAAAATTGTGTTTATCTATATACCCTGTATATGCGTATGAGGGGTATTTTAAGTAGACCGATTGTGGATTATGGATTAGAAATCTATATAAGAGTTGAGCTAAAACTGAACTAGAACTTGAGCTAGTTCAAAACACACAATTTTAATGTCATGCATTCGGAAATTCTTATTAAACCATTGCAAAAGCTTAAGAATAACGACAATTAAAACTCTAACTGGAAGTAGTTAAAATCTTAAAAATTAATGAAAATCAAGTTTTAAATTTATCATTTTAGAAATGCCTTTTAAAATCAAGAACTAAAATATTTCAAACATCTGCCACTTGTTGTAAAAAAAAAAAAAAAAACAGGAACTATAAATACTTCAGGACATGCAAATAAAAGGTAAATGGACTTTCGACTCACACATGCTCTATTTCTTTTAACAAGTCAAACTCTACTTCCGAAAGTTAAATCTGAAATTAGTATAGAACTCACTCAGAACAAAAGCAATATGAATTTACAATTTTTTTTATTAATTGCTATAGAGTATTGGGTATATCCAAGTCGATCAGCTTATCATTAACCACTCACTACAGTCCTTTCCTTTGGTTGAGCTGAACGCGCTCAAAAGCCAGTCGATGGCTACGATATGTATGCAACGTCATCGGGCCGGTTCATTCGGTTCGCGTCAGCCCTTATTCGACTTGATATGCGTCCACTTACTTATGATGATTTATCTAAGAAATAACTCATTTTTATGATAACTCAACTCGGGCTCAGCCTGGCTGGGCTCCGGCTGCTCGGCCAGTTGCCCAATTCACTTTCACTGCACTCGGAGGCTCATTCAGGACCACTCAATGTGTGGCTCACAAAAGCCGTAAGGATATTATTATTCAATTCGAAACTCAATGTTTATAAATCAATAATTTCAGATGGGTTTATCTAAGAAATAACTCAGTTCATGTTTCAGTATCAGATAAAAGCTCACTTCGATCGGCAGTGTGGTAATAATATACATAAAAATATATTAACAATGTAGTATTATCTTAATCGACAAACTAAGTTCCGTGTTTATTTAAAGTAAGTCGAATTTATTTCAGAATATTAAAGATAGAACATAGAGGATAGACTATCTTATCTAATTCACGAAAACAAGCTATCTTAAGTAATGGAACTGATGTACCCTAATTACTGTGGTAATACTAGATAATACATGAATAGAAGATACCCTGGATCTACAGTAAGTGCACAACTAAAAAATTCTTTAACTAATTTGTCAAGGACACAACTAGAAGATACCACGCGATTTTAAAGATCGATTCTTCAAAAGAGTCGTAGTACTCAATGAAGGATTTTTTTGTGTATATTAATTCAAAAAATTTTTATATATAAGTACATATACTTATAGAGTCTGTTCAAGCATGAATATTGACAGCCAACTCGATTTTCGTACATCTCTAGAGTATCGATACAATAGTAAAGCCCTTACAGTTAAATAGAAAATATGCAATTATTATTTAATATGCATTTACTTTTATTGAGTCAAGTTTAGAAGCTTTAATTGCTTTTCATTGTATTGGCTTGATCATCATTTGAACAAATTTTAGATTCGAGGGACCCCAGTGAATCCCATTTTTCGAGATATCGTATTCAGCATTGAGGCTACAAGGAAACAAATATACTAATATCATCAATCTTAATAATCAATTTAATTTACCTGTCGGACAACCAAATACCGTCGCGGAGCCACCAACCGTTCTTCATCTGGCGATCGCGCCAAATACCGTGACCATTGTCATATGTAGAGAACACTGAACCGAGCTGGTGGATCATTTCATTATTCAGGCTTCCATCATACTGGCCCAATGACATAAGTCGAAAGTTGTCCTCCTCTCCGGCAATGCTGAAGTTCAGATAGTGTCCATAGAATGTTTTATTATAAACATCTTTCACAGATATGTAGAGCTCCTGTGGCTGCGATTTAGTCAATAGGTAAAGCTTGTCCAGGCCGATGAAAAATTCGCCTTCCAATCGGCCGAAGCCCGATCGATAGTGCATCATATTCCTGTTGAAATCCACAGAGCCATCCAAGCGGCGCTGAATAACTGTCCAATTCGAATCACAGGGCACTTTAAAGGGGCTCGAGCCTGGTACTTTTAGTTCGTAAATCCCATTCACTTTTCCAATGCAACTTGTGATTAAATTGACTTCGGTTTTTGTTTCATTTGCAGCTGAGGTTCTCATGATTTCCGAGCCTTTGTTCGATAAAAATTGAACCCTAATGGCACCGAGAAGCTTATCAATCCAAATTTGCTGGGAGCTCAGCAACTCCTCTTTGGTCAAGCACTTGTTTTGATGCGCTTTGCTTTGTTCCAATTGACTCTCTAAATGCTTAATCTCAGCCATCAACTGTCTCTCTTTCTCTTCAGCTAATGCTGCAGAGAGGAGCAGAGGCTTCACAAGGCGGTAACAATAGGAACCGCACCGAGCATCATTTTCCATTGATATAGAGTTTAACTTACGGAATAGAATACAGTACAGTACAGTACAATATACAGCTATGTTAGATCATGAGTAATACACTTACAGCTAACTCGGGTATGACCCCGGGCAGGGATATCAGTCCAATTAAAAATAGTCTTTGAATTATGCCCATTTCTGATGTTACGACAGCAATTTCGATACTGCTCTCTCCATAAATAAAATGAAACTAAGTTAGCATAGCAAAATTATGCTTAGCAATCGCTCGTCAGGCACTACACAAAGCTGAGCTGATAAGAATTATCTCTGCTGTTCTGGCTCTGTGTGCATGATTTGGAAATATTTGATTTCAGATCTCACATAAGGAAGCACTTGGACATCTGGAATATATTTCAATCGGGTATATTGGCTTTTAGTAAATGCTGGTCGAAGAAGATCCCAATATAATATGGAATGTGCACATCTTTAGTTTGTGGAATTATATTATACTTTTAAATTTAATTAATGCTCATGAATGAGTATTATGCAGTCGGTTTTGCCCGACTTCAATCTTAATACAGGTTTTCATTGCATTATCAAGAGATAATTGAAATAGTTCAAGTGAACTGGAACTGTAATTGGGTCAAAATTAAAAATTAAATATAATTTCAACTTTTAATATATTATTTTTTAAATTAATCTTAAAATCTTGAACTGGAACTAGGTCTCATAGCTTCAATTTCACAGGCAAATGAACCTTCAGCTGGCACATTTTGTTATTTATTTTAATTAATATCTTAATAGTGAAATTACAGCTAAATTTATTTGTCTTATATATTTACCTCAGTAATTCAATAATTTGTGGTGTCTTTCGATAATATTAGTAGATAACAAAATATCGGGAGATGTAATCGATTTTTGGAGAAAAACTCGATATGTGCCTGACATAGACGAACATAAGGAAACAAATTTCAAGTCTCTAGCTCTTGTATCTTCTGAGATCGACGCGTTCAAAAATAAGACAGATGAAAGGACGGACAGGGCTAAATCAACTCAAGTCTTTGCCCTGATCAAGAATATACATATGTAGATATTTTTGTGGGATATGCCACGCCTCCTTCTGCCTGTTACATACATTTCAATTTGATGGAAATCGATTATTAGTTATTATTATTTGACTTTAGTTTATGAGCTAAGCGCAGTTCGAATTGCGATAATCAAAGTTTTGAATAAATGTAACCATCATTTAGAAGAGACTTTAAGGACAACATATCACGCCCAAGAGCCCTCCTCCTCACACACACACACACGTCGACATCCTGTCGAATTGCCGACTTGGAAAAAGGATGTGCCGACATCATTTGTCATTTGTCAGGAAGGAAAACAAAGCTAAGAGCAAAGTTGGCATGCGGAAAAAAGTTTAAAGAAAAATAGCTGACAGTGCCGTCGGTACGTGCATAAGTTCAAGTTTTCGCGTCGCATCTTCTTCTTGTGATTCTTCTTCTTCTTCTAGTAGTTCCATTTCTTCTTCTCTTAATCTTGCGGCTATGTTTGGCCTGTGGAATTGCTTTGGCTTGACCTTCCAGCTTGTTTCTATTAGCAGCGCGCATAACCTTTAACTAATCTTGATCTTGAACACGGCACGGCACAAGCTTCATTGATTGATGACGTCAGCCCTGTTGTGTCGTTCGATGTCGCTCGGTGTCGCTGTTCACACCTTGTTTCAACCTGTGCATGTGGCAGAAAAAAAAACCCGACGTTAACCAAATTCGATGAGCTGTCAGGAGCTAGGACATATACTGCGAACTGGGAACTGGGAACTGGGAGCTGAGAAGTGGGAGCTGCGAGTTTTTGCGCCAGATTTTCCCTCTCTGTCAGCTGCATTGAGGCAACTGCAGTTTTTGTGACTTGTGAAATTATCGAAATTCTATTATGGAAATTTTATGCAAACCAAATTTCATTTTTTTTTTTTTCGGGGCATTGCTTTTGTTGCTTGAAAATTAGTTTTTCAATTTGCCATCACATGCAAACAGGCAGCAAATAAATAAATAAATAAATAATAAAAAAATAGCCCAGTATGCTGGTCCTAGGCAAAGTTTTTGCTTGGTGCAGCAGCAGCAACGACTCAAGGACGCAGACGTCTCGCATTGGAGGCGGCTTCTTCCTTAAGCCAGCAGAGGAGCAAGTTATGTGCATATTTCTGATAGCTTCACCATTTTCAATATGCAGATTGATTTGTATTTATATTTCCATTCGTATTCGTATTCTTATTCGCATTTGTATTTGTATTTGGAGCCACGACTTTTTTTCTGCGGAATTCTTAATTAAAAACAGGCCAGTGTCCCAGCAGAGCTATAGATAACCTAACATGGCCCCTGGCCAAGCAGCCATTCATCTAGCACTCGGCTCGCTAAATTTATAACCGGCGCTAGGCGCGAGGAATGCAGCCCGATCAACATGTTGCGCCCATAATGCCCCATGGTAACTACGCGGCACGTAATTGCAACTGCAGTCCGACCTCGTTGCAGCTCATTGTGGACCGCTGCCGGTGGTGACCCCAGGCGGTGGGCAGGGTGCCGGGCCGAATTGTGGGCTCATTCTGGGCTGAGCGGAATTATGCGTCGAGCCCACAGAACTGAATACGAGGTGCTAACTCAGCTCAGCTTTGTGGACCGCCGACTGCGTGGACAAAAGCTGTGACATAAATTCAGTCCCGAAAGTTAAGGATTATGATTAATGATTCTAATTTAATGGAAAAATAAAAAAGAACTATAAATATATTTATTTAATTTTATTTATTAACATTAATTTATATGACAAAAATAAAAAGTGTGATATCGTACATGAATTTGTACATATTTTTCTGTCTCTATTTCTCTCTCTCTCCCTATCTCGCTCCATTTCTAGCTGTCTATCTATCTTTCTCTCCCTTAATCTATCTTTCTCTCTCTCTTTCTCTCTATCTATCTATCTCTCTATCTTTCTATCACTCTAGTAATGGGGATATCTCTATATTTCTCTCTTTCTTCTCCTATCTTGCCCTTTTCTTTATCTCTTACTCTTTCTCTTGCATTCCTTTCTCTAACTCTAACTTTCTGCTCTATCTCCCTCTAATCTCTCTCACTCCCACTTTTACTCTCACTCTCTATACCTCTTCCTCCCTCTTTCTCCCTCTCTCTCACTCTCTCTCTGTCTCTCTATCTTTCTTTCTCCCTCTTTCACTCAGTCCCTCTCTATCTCTCTCTCACTCTATCTCACTGCTCTCTCATTATATAACTGTGTAATATAAACATGGGGCAGACTACAACAAAATTTCTCTCTCTCTCTCTCTCTCTCTCTCTCTCTCTCTATCTTAACTATTTTTAATCTAAATCGTTTTATTGTTTTCTATGTTAGCATAAGCTATTAAAGCATATTTCAAACTGTAAAGCAAAAAGTGCTCGACTTGCTGAACATTTCCCTACCTATTTGCTTTTTTTTTCAAGTGGACTACAGTTATCCACATGTTTTCGGTCATAAATCTGCAATTACCAACTCAGGCGGCGATGGGATGGGGATGCTCCACAGCAGTTGCTGTTCCCATTCCTTGGCCAGGACATTGTCGCCGAATTGTCGAGGCGAGTCCACAAACTAGAGTTGGAGCATTGTTTTTAATGTCTTTTAGTTTTTTCCCTGATTTTGGATTTTTTATTTTGGGATGTTGCTTCGATTCCGGATTCAATCTGTTGCAGTTTAAAGCGTGCCTTTGGGGCCAGTGTGGCACATAAATTATGCCTTGTTTGATGCAATTTGATTGGAGGCTTCTCAGAGTTCGCTGCGAGACTTTTCACTTAGTTTCGACCAAGTAAATAGGCAACTGCAAAAGAACTTCAACTTTGTACTCCTCTCCCAGCGCCCTTCCGCCTTGTTGCAACTGCTAATTTTTTTTTTTTTTTGTATTTTATATATGTATTTTCCTTTTTTTTTAATTTTTCGCTCTTTCTCTCTCTTCCTCACTGTCTTTCTCTGTCTCTTTCTCCCTGTTGGCCAAGTCCTGGCTCGACCAACTCTGACTTGTATGCGTTCACGCTTGGCAGCCAATTCAAGTCGTGTCATTTTGTTGAGTTTGTGTTGAGAGTTCGTTTGGTTGAGCTGCCTGCCGACTTACCGGCGCGCCTCCCCACTCCCCCTCCCAGCCTGCTGCTTGGCATTTCAAGCTCTTCTGGTAATTCAAATGTCAGTCACTCAGTCACTCAGTCAGTTAGTCAAACGGCACACCAATGTAAGGCAAAGTTCTTGCCAGGCTTACACCACTTCAGATTGCCAGCTACATGCAGCAGCATTCCCAACCCCTTCAGCATCCCCTTGCCCCACTCACTGTTCCACGTGGCCAGGTGTTGCCTCCTTTGATAAATGCATTCAGGCATTCGCCTAAAACTATAAAATAAGCATTTCGTATTTGCCATGAATAATATCTGGGTGCATGTAACGTATTAGTTTTATTCTCGCTCATCAATTTTAATTGTGTTAATATATTTATTAAAGTTCATTTGTCATTAAATAATTTCTTATTTTCATCTATTTATTTAAGGCTAACTAAAGACAAAAATAAAGCTAGATTTCCTTGGCCAAATCAGGCTTTATTTGGTCAATGTTTTGGTAATGCGACTAATTAAGCTAATTTATTGTACGTGTCGCAAGTCAACAAAGGGCTTGGAAAAGTTAGATAGACGGCTTCAGAGCTTCGTTATGCCCCAATGGATTTGTTTAATCTGGCAGCGATTAAAGCCAGGCCCCCGGCTCAGCTCAGGCTTGCATTTGGCATAAATATATATTATTTATATATTTATTTTTGCAGCCTTAATTAGCTAGCTAATTAGCTAATAATTATACTTTGGAATAAAAGAGTCGAAAACAGAGCAGTTCATATAATTCCCTTTTATTTGATTTTATTTTTATTTTATTTTATTTGGCTCCATTGTGAGGTCTTGTTTATTTTCGAGTTTCAATTTAAGCTACAATTTATTTATTTATTTTATTTTATTTTTTTTATGTGCTGCTCCTGGCTGGCTTTTCATTTGCCACTCTCAACTAATTTAAGAATCCCGGCAGCGTCCAGCATGCCCAGATGCATTGATGCAGCTGCGCAGCCAAAATCGTCTGCACAAGTAACAAATCAAACGAGTGCTTTTGTAAATTACATTTGAATTATCTTTTCTATGCTGACTCGCACGTACTCTCGCCCTTCGCACTTCCTCCCTTCTCCCTTCGCCCTTTCTCTATCTCAGCTGCTATTTTTGCTGATG